GGTTAGTCTTCTGTAAGCTCACACTCGAACTGTACCAAACAATGTGTATTATTTCATTTGATGTTCACGGAGCTAAATGTAATGCTTTGCATGTACTCATTACTTTATATAACAATCCTGAACTAAATTATCCTCGGACTACAAGGACTGCTACCGGAACGACAGGATATCTTTACACCTGGATGTTGCAACTTTAAGATTGTAAACGAAAGTTGTTTGAGAGAATAAGCGCGTAATCGAGGACAAACGGAACTATTAAAGAATCATTCTTAAAAGATGATGATTACTGTACATTCACAAGCATTCAATTAACGTCTCCTTCCTCCCTCTTTGCCTTTGAATCGTCCATGGACGTAGCATAATTGGTTAATGAGCAATTGCGAGCGCCCCGCGGTTCGTAGCCTTGGTGAAATCCCTTCGATTCCCAAATCGAATCGGTAAATAAAATGAGCAAAAGCAAGCTCTCAGATTGATAGAAGAAGAAAAAGAGAAAAGTTGATTCGACGAGGGGAAGAATTATGGGGAATGTGTAAAATGTTCATTCGACTAATCCGCATAATGAGGTTTAAATTCGCACCCTCTCGGGGAATTAAATGGGCGTGGGCTTGAAATTAATTCCAACGGAGGGTGGTGTACGTTTAGATTTATAATGACAACGACTAAGTAGGGATGGCACCAGATTTAGAGCACCTTAGGCGCGCGAGCGCTCCGCGAACTCAGAAAAAATTAATAGTTTTAATGCACACGTCCTCGTCAAACGCAGCAGGGATGATTTCCGGAATGGGATTAAACGCGAGTGCATTATTTCCTGGAGTAGTGCGGTTTCGGTTCCGGAAATAATGCAAGAATGGAAGAAGAATGATGCAGAAGAAGAGAAAAAAAAATGAATATATAGAAAGCATGCTCTTAATGATAGGAAATCTTTGTATTGGATGCGTTCAACAAGCATGCACGTGCTTGCATATATATGAAGATTCGAAGCATGCATTGACATATAATTCATTCGGATTTGTGTAATGTGGGTGAAGAGAACCGAATGAGAAGAAGAAGAAAAAGAGGAGATCTCTCGAATCAAGAAATCCAATCTCTGCCCTGTTTTATGTCTACATTATGTTAAATGGCAGCTTATGAAATAATTTGAAACGCGTTACGGAAATGCTCGCAACGAATAATAATAATAATAAGTACTCACTTTACTTGAGAGATTTTTACTTGGACTCTACAAATTGCTATTTGAACGACGTCATTTCCCATATACAATTTGTGACTTTACATTTATATTTGCTAAATCTCGTTCTCAATTTGTCACGTCGCATTTATCATTTATTACATCACGTTATTATAATTTGTGATTTCACGGATATCATATTTTAACTCACGTTAATAATCGTGACCTCACGTGTATAAATTGCCTTGTCGTGTATATAATTTGTCACCTCACGTTTGTAATTTATGACTTCACGGGTATAATTTATCAAGTCACGTTTATAATTTCCTATCATTCATACATAATTATCTACAATTTGTGACCTCACGTTTCAAATTTATTATTCACATTTATAATTTGCTCAAAGTATCGAAATACTTATAACCTACATAAATAAAACATAATTTTTAAATTTTAATTATTATGATATTTTAACATTTCTCAGTAGATGTATATTATTTATCATATCGTGTTGTACATATAATTAATTATATTTATTAATTGATAATGTATGGTTTTATGTTTATATTACTTAAATTACGTTAACGATTTGTTGTTTAAACCTGTTAAACCCGAAAAGGGGTAGAAATAGGGCCGGAGAGATTTATGTCAATAAAAATTGATATAAATCTCTTAAAC